TGGCCTGTTTCACGGTCCCTCGGTGTCTATAGTGATAGCAGTTATGCTATAAACTGGGTCGTTTTTCTTCTCTGGTGATGTCTTCCTGTGTCTGAGGTTTAGATGTGAGTCAGTCTCTAGTTTCTCAATCTGATCACCCACCGCGAGGTGAGAGGTCGTTCTTGCTATAGATTAATTAATAAGACACTGACTGAATGCTCAGTGTTATAAGGGGACACTGACTTTCACATCCTCCCCTGAGTTTCTGGAGTATTGTGAAGGGAAACAGGAATAGTAAACCTAGCCCTGCTGCCTCGCAATGATAGGAACTGGAAGTTTGTTTTCTGTTCTTTTCATGAACTGTATTATTGCTGCATAGTCAAATTGCATTTTTTTTTTCTAAACTAAAAAGCAGAAAGAAGTCTGTGCTCACCTCCATCAAATTGTGGCATACATGTTCTGTTCCTTGATGATCAATATTAGAAAGAGTTTAGTAAGGAAATATTCTTTTTTTTTGGTGGGGGGGGAGTTTACCGGGAATCAAACTCAGAATCTTGTGCTGGCCAGGCAGGTGCTGCAACGCCTGGCCCAGGAAATAATCTTTTTTTTTTTTTCTTTTGGTAATGGGGATCAAACTCACAACCTTACAATTACCAGACAAGTGCTTGAACCACTGAGCTAAATCCCCAGCCTTAATAATCTTTTAATTATTCTGTTTTAAAGTACCAAGTTTTAGCCAAATGAATGTGATTACATCTCCCATCAAGGTAGGAAAAAGTTAATGGATCTCATTGAAGAAGTAATCTGTGGTCATGACCGGAGCCGCGGGAGACAGGAGGCCAGACTCGAGCAGGATCAGCTCTCAAAGTTTATTGCGTACAGCGAACCGGACCTAACAAGGTCCGCCACCCTCAACGTTGGTTCCTCTTCCGCCCGTTGGGGGCAGGAACAACCTCTTATAAGGGGAAGCAGTATCCAATCACAGAGAAGTGCGTCTAACAAGCTGATAGGCTAGCGTCACGGGTAACTGGGCAGATATGACAATTTGGCGGGCTTGTTCAGGCCAGGAAGAACCCGGAAGCAGGAAATGGGCGCCATTCATAGGCGGCTTCCCACATCTCCCCCTTTTTTATTTATTAAAATAGGATGGTCTGTGGGTCCCTCCAAGGTGTCTATGACCTTGTTGCTGTTAGACACCTAGGAGTGGGCCCACCTTGTAGGCCGAGGCATGAGAGAATGTAGAGGTCTATACCCTGCTGTGCATCACCCTGTTTTGTGCATATCCTTGCGCCAGGACCATGCTCAAGGTGAGTGGTTCATTTTTTCGCAGGGCCAGGCTTTTGTGAACCGAACCTGGATGCATATAGACATTCATTCCTGCCTTCCCCCCAACCTTTGGGGCGGATGGCACTGCAGTACCCTTGGTCTCGCATCTCAATGCCAATAATTTGACTCCAGAAGGGACCCCTGGCCTTATAGGCCATGTATATCTGAGTGGAGCCTGTCTTAGGTTGACCGGGAGGGCTTTTCCCGTCTTACCCGTCATTGGCTTGCCCACTCAGCTCTTATAGCTGATGTTCTGCAATGTGAAGGAGATATGCGGCAGCCTGCTGGCCTGATGAGCCACCTGCTGCCATTTGCATGGCTGCCATAGCTGTGATCTTAACCTGCTGCTGAGTTTGTATGAGGCGATCTAACAAGCATTTAATAACCACAAGCCCCACTAGGATGGCCACGGCAATCAGGATCCAAGTAGTCAGGTTGGGCCAGGAGAACCAGGAGGTGACGCGTTCCCACAAACTGGCTATAACACTGCCTAAAGTTGATAAATCGAACCTGACTGAACCTAGTTGGATACCGTCCATATTGTCAAGTTCCTGACCGACTATGAGGGACAAATTGTGAAACTTAGGTAGGTAGGTGTCTTGCAGCCAAGCTGTCATATTTTTAACAGTGTTGGTCAAATTTGTGCGAACAGGGGTGATTAATAGGAACCCACAGAATAGAAAAAGCTCCAAACCAGACATTTTAGTTTGTAGATGGTCTCGGGCGCTGAGCGTCAGTCCCAGAAGGGTCGAGTTGACTTGTGTCCGTGGGCTTATCCTCCTGTGCTTTATCAGGAACTGGTGGGGAGTTTACTGCTCGCGTCAATCTTTCCGGGACCCACAGCGGTTCGCAGCCTGGTTCCTGTGGGAAGACACAAACCGCACCTCGGGTCCAGCTAACCACTGGATCCGGGCCCATCCATTGTCCTGTAAGGACATCTTTCCATCTAACCAGCCCTTTGTCGGTTGGGGACGGATTGCTATGTTCCATGGCAGGGGAATGATTATTGTGGTTTAAATTGAGAAAATTTATGGTAAAGAGTGCCAATGATATTCTTCCTTTGGGCGTTAGGCCGTGGCCTATCCCCTCTTTTTGCTTTTGTAAGACACCCTTGAGTGTCCGATGTGCCCGTTCAATGATGCCTTGTCCTTGAGGGTTATATGGAATGCCATGCTTAAGGACAACATCCATTTGTTGACAGAATGTTACAAAAGTTTTGCTGGTGTAAGCAGGACCATTGTCTGTTTTTAATATATTGGGCTTTTCCCAAGCAGCCCAGGCTGCAAGACAATGATTAATAGCATGGGTGGCCCTTTCTCCAGGTTCTGCCGAAGCAAACATAACCTGAGAAGCGGTGTCAACCGAAACATGTACATATTTTTCCGAATTCTGGGATGTGTGTTTGCCAAATATGATTGGGGCGCAGTCCTCTCGGGTTAACACCAATAGATTGTTGAGGTGAAGAGATCACACAGGCCTGCCAATGCCTCTAAAAGTGCCATGGTAAATGGCGCATTGGGCCCATAAGCTGAAACTGCGTCCTTGATAGCTTTAAGTTGTTTAATTTCTAAGGGCTCATAATATCCTCCTCCTCCCCTGCCTCCTACTTGTACCGGGAATGCATGGAGACCGGAACACTCAAAGGGAAGCCGCGACCATACCCTCTGGTGGAAGGAACGTCCTCCTCCCTCCCCAGATGAGGGCGCAGAAGGCAACCCAGGAAGTAGCTCTCCCTTTAACCAGGGCGGTGCCATATGTTGTGGGCGCCCTCTGGCGGCCACGGGTGGAGGTGGCAGCCCAGGGAGCAACTCCTCTTCCGGCCACGGCGGTGCAGTAGGGCCTGGCGCCCTGAAGGGGGCGACCATGGGTCGCGAGCTTCGGAGCCCTTGTGTTTCTCTGGAGGCCCAAAGTCAGGTGTGACTTTGGGCTCCTCCGAGCACTCGGATCGAGCTTTGTCAAGAGCCTGTCGGGCTGAGCAAAGCCTGGGGGTTTGTTCGTCCGTCAGACAAGCCCTAATCAGTTCCCACAGGGGTAAAACCATGGGATCCAAGCGTCCCTCTTCTCGGGCGCATCTAAGATCCCCTCCTAACTTCTCCCATGACGGGAGGGTTAGAGAGCCCGTGGGCCAAAACCAGGGGGCAATTTCATTAACACGATCCAGAAATCTCGAAAGGGTGACCCGGTTTATGTAGATGCCTCGGGTCCGCAGCAGGACTCTTAGGGAGTCAGCGAGGGGTTTGCGAGCAGCGTTGCCCACAATGGTGAAGCGAAAGCGAAACAAATGCAAAGAAAAAAAAAAAAAAAAGACCGGCGTCCACCCATGTGGCGCTCAAAATCTGTTAGGTGCGTCCACCCAACCCAGGTGATCCAGTACTCACCTGTCCCGGGAACCGCTGTATCTCACGTAGCTGATCAGGGTGAAGAGAAGAGGCGCTCGCGGCCTTCCGTTGTTATTGGGCCAGGTCCTCCGTCGTACCGCAGGCGACAGCAATCACACCTCCAGGCCGAAGAGGCACGTCGCTGAGTCTTTTACCTTTTTCCCCGTACGGGCCACCAGATGACCGGAGCCGCGGGAGACAGGAGGCCAGACTCGAGCAGGATCAGCTCTCAAAGTTTATTGCGTACAGCGAACCGGACCTAACAAGGTCCGCCACCCTCAACGTTGGTTCCTCTTCCGCCCGTTGGGGGCAGGAACAACCTCTTATAAGGGGAAGCAGTATCCAATCACAGAGAAGTGCGTCTAACAAGCTGATAGGCTAGCGTCACGGGTAACTGGGCAGATATGACAATTTGGCGGGCTTGTTCAGGCCGGGAAGAACCCGGAAGCAGGAAATGGGCACCATTCATAGGCGGCTTCCCACATGGTCAAATATGAGGAAATTATTTAGACTACCTCCCACTGTTAGAATTTTGCAGTGAGCATTCACTTGTTAAAGGTTCTTACGGGTTTTGAAATGAAGAAGCTTAGTAACTTTTGTTTTAATCGGGGAGTCCCCACATTATGTGATCCTGAAGTGTTATTTATGGTAGCATCCTTTAGCATGTCTCAGGAACAGGGTCTCTAGCATGCAAAGAGGAAGAAGCCCTGGATCGAATAGTGTAGTTAGAACCTGAATTTTCTGCTCACTGACAATCTGTTCAGCATAGATGCGCAACCTCACTATAGGAGCCCCATCTCACAGTAAATATGAAGATTTACAACAGTAATATATGATTATATTGGCTTCAACTAATGACATTCCTATCAGGAAGTTCAGTTCTCTGAAGTCAAAGTTGGGCCTATCATCTACTGCTCTCTGACCTTAGGCATATTGCTTAATTTCTGTACTTCAATTTCTCATTTGTACCCTGGGAGCAAACACTGATCTCCTAGGGTTATTAAAGGAATTCAGTCCAATTCTATTCCAAATTTAGAACTGTGCTCAGTCCATAAATATTAACCATCATTATTGTACTTTTTTATATTTATTACTATTGTATCATTATTCTTGATACTTTATGACTATTTAATTTTACTAAAGCAATTTCTCTTTCCCCTGCCAAAAAGAAGTTTAAATGCAGAATATTATTAAAATGATACCATACCTTCCTGCAAAATACGTGATTCTGCTTTGCTGCTTCTGGTCTCCCCTGGGTCCGGACTCCTTGGCTCTGTGTCTTCACGCTGTCATTTAGCTTTCTCTGTTTATGAACAGGGGCGGAGAGGCCTGGGCTCTGTGTTTGTCTGGGCATCTGGCAATGGCGGAAGGAGCAAAGACCACTGCTCCTGTGATGGTTACACCAATAGCATCTACACCATCTCCATCAGCAGCACAGCGGAAAGCGGCAAGAAACCGTGGTACCTTGAAGAGTGTTCGTCTACACTGGCCACCACCTACAGCAGCGGAGAGTCCTACGATAAGAAAATAGTACGTGGTCTTTGCATGTCTTAACAATCAATTTATAACATTTGCTCTGCAGTGTTAAGGGAGAACCATAAATATATAATGTGTAAGTAATATGTGAAAATAGAAGGGCAGATTGGCTGATGGTGTTCAATGAAAGTCACTGCAGGTTACCATTCTGTGGCCAAGTCACTGAAGAGGCTTGCTTGGGTTCTCACATGCCAGCATTTCATCCAGCCCCAGGCATGGTTAAGCTTCCCTGTTATTCAGGACAAAGATGGCCCCACGTTTACATTGTGAGTGAGGACAGCCTAGAAGCTCTCTACTCAGGGCCCCAACCTAACTTTTAGGCTTGGCTTAGGTGCTTTGGTTTCTAAATGCAGTTAATAAAGTGTGCAGAACAAAAACATGGAAGGAAACTCAGAATTAATTCCAAGTATACATCTGGCCATCAGTGTCCTTGGGTTCCATATCTGTAGCATTAGCCAACCACAGATAGAAATATTTGGGAAAAGATTTTCTTTTGTCGTAATTTTCTAAATAGTGCAGCATTATGGCTGGGTACATAGCTTCTACATTGTGTTATGTATTACAACTTCATTTATAAAAGAGGATACATGTAGGTCATATTAAAATACTATGCTATTTTATTTTACATAAGGGATTTGAGCGTCCTCAGATGTAATGTCCATGGGGAGTCCTAAACCCAATGCTTGAAGATGACGAGGGGCCACTGTGTGTTCTTAAGTAGAAATAAGCCTTGAAGAGAGTGCAGCACAGGTCTGGGCGGAGAGTCGCAGAGCGCTCTGGGTCCCCTACTCTGTGGCATGCTCTGCTCTCCAGGCAGGCAGCCAGAGATGTAAGAGTTTGAGTTTTAGGCCTGATCTGTGGAAGTTTCTTTCATCTGTAGCTGTTTACTAGCTGAGTGACCCTGAACAGATATTAATCTCTCTGTCTCAAGACTGTTGGGTGTAGAGTGGGGCTTTAGCACACGCAGTGAATGGTATCATGACAAAAACTTTGAAGAAGTCGACAAAACCAAGCCCCGAGCCTAACTTGCCTGGTGCATGGGGAAGCTCGGCCTTTTGGCAGGTCCTGCAGGGTTCTCCTGATTTTACATTGTAGGCACCCTCGCACTTTGCCCTTTTCCCGGTCAGGCTTGGGTAAACTGCCTCAAGAGTTACCTTTCTAAGGCGGAGGTGAGATGCCAGACCTGCGCTTCTTTGCACTTCTCCAAGCCACACAGGTGTGGGTCAGCCCTGGGGAGCGTCTTGCTTTGCCATGGTAGGAGACTGGCAGAAGGCAGGGCGCTGCAGGCTGAGCACCCTCATCCCCACATGCGGGATGCCGCCACATCCAAAACTCCATGAGAACTGGTGTGACACCTTCAGTGGGAAATTCACACCACGTGACTGGACTGCCTGTGTGAAACTCTCAAGACTATTGTCAAACATTACTTCTGCCTAACTGTAGAAAGTACAAGTGAGGCATAAATGAATTTTGTATTTAGATTTCATTCCCAATTCTCAATATATCTTACTATAGATGTGCACATATTTTAAAATCTGTCTAAAAAACAACAACAAAACACTTCTGGCCCCAGTCGTTTCACATGAGGGATACTCACCCTGTATCTACTCTGTGCTCTTCTTGATTCATGCCTGTTCAATTTTTCTTGACTCCTCACTGTTACGTAATTTTTATGTTTGATTTTTCAGCTCTCTTTACTGCCATTTTAAGGTATGCTTTTTACATTGACCTGAGTAAATTTGTCTGTTTATGTCTCTGTCCTCATCTTTCCCTAGTTTCTTCACAACGATTGCACTGAGAAATACAGGGGAGTCCATCTTCCAGTACCTCTGTAAGCACACGGCCAAACCCGAGTGGGAGACAGCAGGACAAAGTGCGGCCATAAGGAAGCTTGGAGCTTCTGGCTTTCTTCACTGAAAAGTGACATCCCATGAAATTTTTTCTGCTTTGTAAAAAGATTTTAACCTAGAAAATTCCCTTTGGCTTTTAAGTAGAAAGACCTTGTGTCCGCTAATACCTGGTCAGTGTCCGCTAGTGCTGAGTGAGGCCCATTAATTCTTCATCTAGTGGGAGAGTTAACAAACTGTTTGCTCATTGGGGACCAGAGTCACCCTTCTTTGGTATTTGTTCCCATTGGACTATAAGATTCTCTTGAAGAAGGCGTTTATGGAACCCAGTAGTACCCTCCCACAGGAGCCACCACCCCGAAATAACAGAACTTAGCAGTGACAGTAGCGAGCTTATGAGACGCCTTCACTGTTCTCATGAGAAATTTCGTGATGACGGGGCCTCTGAGGTCTACTCCCTGGGCTTCCCTTTCCCAGACTCTTTGTCACACTTTGCTACAATTGCGTGGTCATGGCTGTATCCCCCATGACAGGGCAGCCACTAAGGCATTCCTGTGGATTGGCAGACTGACAGATCCCATGCTCCGGAGGGCTTGAGAAGGGAGTAGGACAGCAGGGCCTAACGTTAATATCTGTTAGTTGGGTCATGGGCTTTCCTTTCCCTTGGTACTGCTTCTTGTATCAAAACTGCCCTCTCACCGTTGTTTTTCTTATTTACTTATTTTATTTTTTGTTGTCATTCTAATGAGAAATTCACATTTACTAGTAACAAGCAATTTCCTTTATTTTTTCTTTTTGCAAATGCCTTCAGACTCTAAGGTAAAGGGAGAGAACATGTATCCCAGAATTTTTGTCAGAAATTTCATGATGCAGACCTGATGAGTGTTAAATAGTGCAAGGGACACTGGTCATGAGTTGGGGACCATGGCATCTTCCCATTTAAAAGCAGAAAGGATGTTTCTAGATTACAGTATTTCTGTGCTGGAGGCAAAATTCCATGCAGGCATTGTACTGTAATTAAGGAAGCTAGAAGTTTCCAAAGTTGTTCATTTCCACATTTCCTCTACCTCATTCTCAAATCCCCTTATTTTGTCTAAATCCCTGATGGGGAAGTTGTTTGAAACTAGTCTCCGGCTTCAGGCTGACCAGCTGATGCCCAGGGACACTCGGAGGCTCGGTTTCCTGTGAAGTGGGAGGAAAGAGGTAGTTCCAGAGGGGACCTCAGATTTCAGTGAAGATGAAAGACACTGGGTGGAATGAGGTGCTGCGGTCACGCGTGCCTGGTCCCCATGCACAGCTACGCCCCTGCAGCAGCAGCCTCCTGCAGCCTGGTAGGGGAGGCTGGTCGTTTATCCAGCTGCTGTTAACAGAGCCGCAAGCCGTACCTCTGTCCTTCCAACCTATGAAATACTTCGGTCTGTTCCACCCGCCCCATCAAGAAGGGCACTTTGATTGTAGACATGTTAACTGTTGCAACGGGAGTGGAGCTGGCAGCAACATTAGCCTTTTCTGATCCGGCTGACCCCTTTTCCTTCTCATGTCAGGATGATGAATAATCCCGCAATGCACCTGGGCCCTCAACTCCTCCAGGCTTTGAACCTAGACGCCTGTGGTCCCCCAGCCATGCCCGCATCCTGTTAGTGGCATCTGTGATTGAGTGCCGCAGGAACGCAGTGTCTTCCTTTGTACCTGGCTGCCTTCCCTTAGCCATCCATTTCCTTTTGTTATTTGTAGCCTCTTCAAAAGAGTAGGGTTGTCATTCTTCATTCCTAGAGCACCTTTGTGATTTGAACCCAGACAGACACTGAGGACCTGAGGAGAGAGGAAAGAGCTCTGCTCTGCTTCTGGGAAAGCACTTTTGTTAAATAAATTTTACTTGTCCTGGGCAAAGTGCCTTTTCATAGTTTTCAAGTAAGAAACCTTGTCCTGGGTTTCAAAATGTAATAAGGTCCCTAAATTTCCTACTGTTACTACCAGCACTGTAGACGCTGGTATCCCCTGATGCTTTTGTAGATTTGCATCAGCACCAGCCTCGTGGCTTAGTCCTGCAAATGAAGTCTGAAATATCAAGAACAGAATGATAAGGAGCTCCTTTATTAGCTAAATAGAAACCATCTAGAAGGACTAATTGTCTTAAAGCCATGATATATTTTATTAAAATGACTGTGTGCATTTTATTCCACAGCTCATGTGTGATACATTTGTATTCTATTAACATCTTCAAAGTCAGTTTTCCTTTTAATATGAGCATGGCACGTAAAGGGCATCATCGTGTAGCCTTAAAACCTTATGTAGAAGAATCATCCATGGTGCCTACAGCACAACTGTAAAAACCAAAGCTTGAAAAGTTTCACAAACACACACACACAGAGCCAGTGCTTGGTAAAGGCTGGACTCCAGTCAGGGTGGGGCCTGCACCTGTCATAGTCAGAGTATGGTCCTCCCTGATACTTCTCTGGGACACCCAATGTAGGTATATATGAAATAAGCACAGTTTTCTGACATATCTGATATATATCACTGTTTTTGACCACTTCGTCCTCTTTTTCACCTTTGTGCCTTCATAATCAAACTCTTAGATAGTGAGAACCTTGCAGAAATCTAAAGCACAGTGTTAGGACCAAGCTCCCCAGGTTACACCTTTTGTACGGTGTTCAAACCAAGGCTCTTATGTGCAAAGCCCTGTGTCTTAGGAACATTCTTCCATAATGCTTTATTTCTGACTCTTCTCAGATTTCACCTTAGAGAGAATTTTTTTCATCGTCCTTCCCTCCCCTCCACCCTCCGCAGCTCTCTTATCCTGTTCAGTTTCCTTCCTGTGCACTTACAGCTGCGTAACGTGATTCTGTACCTTTCCCTTTTTACTGTCTGATTTTCATGCTAAAGTGGGAAGCACTTGAAGGTGAAGGCTTTCTGTTCCTTTCCAGAGCCTGAACTCTGTAAATATTCCTGCTCTAATGACCATCAGCCACTTGGAAGAATGGCAGCTTCTCAGGGTATTTATGTAGCCACAGCAAGAAAGGGAAGCCACTCTGTTTCCTTCAGAGAAACTCCTTCTTTGGGAGCTTGCAGGAAGGTAAATGACATTTCACAGTGCATTCAGCACAGAAAATTCATGAAAATCCTACCACGTAATATAGCTGTATG